AAGCAGGGACAGCAGCTGAAGCAGGACGAGTTGAGGGGCTGGGTTGCGGAGAAGCTTGCCAAGTTTAAGGTTCCCAAGAAGGTCAGTTTGCAGCAGAAAGGCTTGTGTGTTTTACATTTTGAGCAGTCAACTGACGAGGTACCTCAGATTTACTTCACCGAGACGATGCCCAAGACGGCCACTGGCAAGATTCAGCGCCGCATCGTCGCCGAGAAGATGCTGTTGCAGGAGCAGCCCAAGGCCAAGTTGTAAACATGCCCTGTCCGCAGTAGACTGTAAGTACCTTTTCTGTGCTAGAATCATAGAATCCTGGAAGACCGTGTAAGAAAAGGGTGTAGACCACACAGACTCAGTAAAGATGGATATTCGTTAGAGCAAGATGTGTTAGAAGAGAGATTTCCTATTTTTAGATACCTAGATGGATAGAATGGAGGTTTTCCACATCTATAATCGCCCATCCGTATTACAGTTACAATGCGTCAGCCTCGTGAGCTCTCTGCCTCGCTCTCTCTCTCGCAAAGTAGAGGCCGCTGCCTATATCACGTCAGGAGCCCAGTTCATGACCATCATCATGTCCCTAGAAGGCCCTCACCACCCGCTTGCCCAGCCTGCCCAAATTCAAAGCCCTGGACGCCATTAAAACCCCAAAAAAACACCAGCAAAAGCTCAGCACTTCGTTCCAGCTCAGTCATAGTGGCCCCCCTCATCAGCATCATCATCGTCCAAGTCAGGATCCTCCCCCTCCTCCGCATCATAGAGCTTCTTCACCGGCTCCCCGGCGGGCTCCGCCTTTCGCGGCACAATCTTCTTGGGCGTGACGCCGTGCACCTCGACCCAGATGCTCGCGCCGTCGGGGCCCTCCCACCGCGCCGGCTCAGCAATCGCGCTGTTGGTCTCGTTCTCGTCGAGCTTGGCGCCCTGCTCCTCCGCGAGCCGGCGCACCTCGTCGTTGGCGTCGGCGAGTGCGGCGAAGACGCCCAGGACGGTGGTCGCGGAGCCCGTCTCGTCACCGTCTCTGTAGAGGACGAGGTTGACGGCGTGGGGGAAGTCGCGGCGCAGGGGCGCCGGGGCTGGGGCGGCGGCGGGCCGTTTTGAGGGGGGTGAGGCGCCGGCTGTGATTGCGGATGTTGAGGAGGCGGTGCGCTTGTGCGCTGTTGTGTCTTGGTCTGACATCTTGATTGTCATTTGAGTCCCTGAGTGGGGTATCTTGTTTCTTGAGTGGTGGTTTGTTGTTTCCCTTTCTTGAGTGATTCAGGATGTATAGGTGAGAGAGATGTGTAAATGTAGATGGAGGTGTAGATGCAAGATGAGTAAGGTGATCTGGTAGGAAAAAGGTTCAAGTGAGATTGGAGATCGGTATGTGTATGTCTCAACCGATGGATTGGATTGTTAAACTCGCGAGTTTTGGTGAATGCAAGGGAGCCTCTCTTCCTCGGTCTGCCTTTTATATCTATATACAAATATACGAGAACCGCCCAGAATCCGGTTATGAGTGATTATATGACTGATTATCACGGACGGATGGAGTACCTCGGAGCGGTCACTTCTAAGGAAACCCGGCGCGGCGGCGGTGGTGGGTATTTTCCTGGCCTGACATGGATCGATTCCCACCTGTCTGTGGACGTCACAAGGACAGGCAGGCTTTCGGGCGGTCCGATGACCGGCGGCGGGCGGAGTGATGCTGCAATGCGCTGAGCTGCGGCGCTGCAATTGAGTGCTGACTGGACCCCCGGAATACAGAAAAAAAAAATTGCTGGGGGCGTCACTGTGGCTGGAATTGGAGCTTCGGGGTTGAGATGCCAGAGCGCGAGTGCGCGAGGTGCGACGGCAGCCGACTGTAGCCAGCTCGCTGCAATGCGGGCCCCGCTGGTTCCCCAGTGTTGGGGCTGGAATGTCTGTTGTGCCGGGGGCAGGGATGGATGGGCGATGGAGCTCTGGTCTTGCTTCTGTGGGAGTTTCCTATGTCCGATGGTATCATTCGGGGACTTGACTTTGCTCACATGAAGCAGTTGCCAAGGTAAGAGTCATCAAGGAGGGCGGGACGATGAACTGAGCTTGAGCTTTGCTCTGTGCTCATCACCGTACACCTCGGCCTCGCTTTGACCTTCCTTGCTGTCGCCGTCGGGGAGAGATGCCCCCCTTCCGTTTGCTCAATTTATTCTCTTTCTGTTTCTTTTCCGAGCATTTTACATTGACTACATCTTGGATCGGAATGGCAGCCGCCAAAGGGTGCGGAAGCTCATTCGGATCCATGCAGGTTGCAGAATCGGTCCAGTCCCGCACGAAGTCCCTGAATTGTTGGGCCGTACTCTTGAGCTACCTGCCGCGTTCACTATGCGCCACTGTTAGCAGTTGCTAGACTCTCTCTGAGTCGTTCGTAAACGAGCCGCGATTTCCTCAATACCTGGATGGCTCTCTCCGATATGATGTCCAGGGGCGGTTTGAACCCCTCACAGACAAATCAGTACTGGACTCTGTCATCACGACGCGCACTGTCCCGGGCGGCTGAGATGCCATCTGAACTCTGCAGAAGCTCGAGCTCCCGCTCGCGGTCGAACTCTCCCAAACGCATGTCATTGGTTCATAACTGAGTACACTTGAGTTTGCCTCGTCCCGTTTATCTTCCTATTACCTTAGACTGTAATCCTGATTCCTGGCAGTCCGACGCGGCCAGTAAATGAATTCAAGGACCAACCCGAACGATACAAATCCTTCTCCGTACGCCAAAATTCGCAACGTAACAGCTTATCTCTAGGCCTCGGCCTGTTCCTCAGCCGCAACCCTTAGCTCGTAATTGAGCTCAAAGCACTCCGCAAGAAGCTCCGTGACACTACCCTGGCCTTCCGGAATGTCGTTGTTGATCATGAACTTGCCGTCTTGGCGCATGTTGTCGATAGAATGGAGCTGCATTTGGTCAGTCAGAACTCCAATATGACGACGAAACACATACCTTCATGCTGTAGGGATATAGTTCCCGGACCGACTGAACGCCACCGTTGTTCTTCACCTCAATCAGACATCTCTTGAGCGTTTGCAACTGGTTGTAGATGGGCAGCAGAGCCTCAGATACGGGCTCTGAGGAGATCATCAGGGAATAGACGTATGCGTAACTTCTTCGGATCAGGTACAGAAGGGTCTGCCAAGAGCGTCAGTTCCGATGGAGCCAAGCCTGTAATATGCACTTACACGCTGAACATAAAGTTCTGCCGGCTTGCCTTGGTCATCAAGCCAGTTGCCATCGACTCGACTCTCGTCAATCTTGTCCAGCTGTCTTTGGAAATCGAACAAATCGGCTTCGCGAAGAGACCATGCTTGTGTGATTGAAAGTTTCTCCAGCTCGTTTCGGATTCGCACAAGGACGTCGTAGGTTGCCTTGAACGGTTCGGGTATCACGCCTTGCCTCTCGAGGACGATCTCCGACCACTTGAGGCACTTCTCCAAGAGATCGGCAACCTCGTCACTTCCGGCGGGCACCTTGCCGTCGTCGCTCACGAACTTGCCATCCTTTCTCTTCTCGCCGATTTCGCGCAGTTGGACTTGGAGCTTCTGGACCTCAGACGGGGAAAACTGCGACCATATTAGGAAAGTTGTGCGATATCGCCGGACTACACGCATACCTTCGTTCGAGTGTTCGCCAAAGACATCGATCTTAGGATCGAAATCAGCTTCTCGTACGTCTTGGGGAGGGGATCCTCAAGACGGTCCAGTCGCTTCTGAAGATGCTCCAATGACTTCTCGCAAAGCTCCAGTCTCTTAGACAGTAGAGTAATCAGGTATGGCGAGTAGTCGCTCTCGGTGGATTTGACATTGTGTGCAAGCTTCTTCACGGTGTGAGAGATGCTCTCGAGGTCCTTGGACGAGAATAGGTCGACTTCGGTAAGGTGATCGAGGAGTCTCCTGATGGTCGACGTCAGGGCGTAGGCGGCAGGAGCTTCGTTGTTTCGGCCAATGGTCATGAAGAAGAGCGACAGGAGTTGGAAGCAGCTCTCCAATACTCTGTCCACTGTAGCGCGAGGTTAGCCGTTGACCCCGCACATGGGTGCGATAGCGCATTACCTCTGTTCTCCTCCCTTCGGTCAGCAGACCGGAACTCGTTGAGCTCGCGAACCTGCTCGATAGTCTCGTCGTACAGCGGGATAACATCTTGGCTGCGAATGTAGTTGGTGCGGTCTTGCTTCAGCAGCTGTAGCCGGTCGCGGATCGAGACGAGCTTCTCGAGGATCTCCTTTTCGCGAGCGTCCCGCGGGGGAGGGCAGGTAGGGGTGTCCATCGCGTGTGACGTAGTTTACGACGGGCGCTGGTTGCTGGGAGGGTTGTAGATCTGAAATATGGGAGAGGGACGGCTGTTCGCGATCATGGACGGCCAAAGCATGCAGCTCGCGCGTTGGATGTCGATACCCTTGCAGGTCTGCCAATGACCAGACATTCAAGGAAGCACAGTAGCGGGGCTCTCTAGGTAAGGTTGACGGCAGCTAAAGTCCGAATGCCGATATCGTCTGTGGATGGGGATGGCGTGAAGTATTCGGTAAACTGGGGAAGACCCGAGTTGTATTGGTAAGATATCTGTGACAAAGAGCTCTGCCGTGGCATCCGCGCAGAGGTATGTAAGTAAATGCGGATGATGCTCGTCACAGGTTCACCCAGCTGGCCCGGAATCCAATGGAAGCACGTCAACGCTTGTGATAGAGGTGGGGGGGCATTGGTACGGCCACGGCTGGGAAAGTCAAATCGAGGCACCGAGGTGGGGCCAGACCCAAGTGACACCGACGCAGCGGAGGCAGGCATGCCCAGGCCGTCGATCGGCGCTCCCATTGGCTCGCTAACATGGCCAGTCATAGCCACTGAAGAACTCCCAAAGCGCTCTAGCGTGTCTTGCTCGCTGCACCCAATCCGAGACCTCAGATTCGCCCAAGCGAGAGAGATCCATCAAATATTGCAGTAGCCCATACTGCCCGCCTCGGCGCGCTGGTTAACAGCATAGGCGGTACGTACCGGCAGGGCTTGACCAAAGCGACCTCAGGGCTTGCCCACACTTCACTTTTTCCGACTTCGTATATCGAGCCAACTCCAAATTTTCTATCAACATCCGCGAAGTCACCTTCAGTCGCAAACCCCCCAAACCAGTCACAATGTCGACCGCCGAGCTCGCTTCTTCCTACGCGGCCCTCATCCTCGCCGATGATGGTGTCGAGATCACTGTGCGTCGCCGCCCACCACCCAGTAACCCCGCCGCGAAAAGGATACGAAATTCGAAAATTCGAGATGGAACCAAATGTAACTAACACCAATTGCTTCAATAGGCCGACAAGCTCCAGACCCTGATCAAGGCTGCCAAGATCGAGGAGGTTGAGCCCATCTGGTTCTCTCTGTTCGCCAAGGTACGACGCGCCGACCGATGACATTCCAAAGCGACCCGACGAAAGAATGGCATAGACTGATTTGAGGATCATAGGCTCTTGAGGGCAAGGACGTCAAGGACCTGCTCTCCAACGTCGGCTCTGGCGGTGGCGCTGCCCCTGCCGCTGCCGGCGCCGCTGCTGGCGGTGCTGCCACCGAGGCTGCCGCTGAGGAGGCCCCCAAGGAGGAGGGTACGTTTCGAACATCCAATCGCGTGTCACTTGTCGCATCTGCTAATACCTGCCACAGAGAAGGAGGAGTCCGACGACGACATGGGCTTCGGTCTCTTCGACTAAGCGGTTTCCTACGACGATTTCCCTTTTGTACTTCAAATGCATGGTTCCGGGGGTTCTACGAATCGCGCGATCGTAAAGGATTGGGTGGAGGCACGATATCCTGCTGCCTGGACAGAGTAGCTCTCATACAATAATGTGAAGCTCTCTACGCGGAGTTCACTGGACATCCTACAAAAATGAAAGTGGAATTTGGCGTGCTTTGAACACACCCGGCCACAGTGCCTCAACGGAGTCTTGGACGCCGACATGATACACCAGCTTAGCTTGAGTGGGAATGGCTTATGATCCTGATCTTGGTTCCATTGCGTGTGACGCTTGTGACAAGTCATCAACCTTGCTTCTGTTTTCTACTTCCCTAACGCCGGTCCATGCATGCCCCCCTCCCCGAGTTGAAAGTCTAGAAAATGAATCTATTTGACAATGAGAACGGCGCTTGGCGTCAGGCCAGCCTCCTTCAGCGTCTTGCTGAAGTCTGTGGCGCCCTGGAAGGTCTTCTTGGGGAACGTAGTCGAGAAGCTGGTGACCTCGAGGCTGTTCTCCGTCTGCAGCATCTGAGCAACCTCGAAAAGGGTCGTCTCAGCAGGAAGAGTCTTCATGACGTTGCCGCCAGAAGTCTGCAGTCTCAGACGAGCTTCGTTGTGGTTCGCGGTAGTCTTGGGGACGGACGGCGCAGCGACAGGGCCTGGCTGGGGAGCTCTTCCCTCTCTCGCCGCCTTGGCCTCCTCCGCCTTGCGACGACGCTCCTCCTTGTCGGCCTCGATCTTTGCCTTGATGCGGCGCTTCGCCTCAGCGTCGTCGAGCTTCTCCTGGCGCTTCTTCGCGGCCTCCTTGATCTGCTCCTTGCGCTGGAGCTCCTCCTTCATCTCCTGACTCTCCTTGGTCGCCTTCATACGGATCTGCTCGTTTCGCTTGGCATCCTCCTTGTCCACGAGGGCTTGCTTCGCCTTCTTCTCCTTCAGTTGCTCGCGAAGCTCCGCCAGCTTAGCAGCCTTCTGATCGTCAGTCAAAGGCGCGATCTCCTCCGTAGACTCGGAGAAGTCGGTGTGGTCACTGGGTGTGTGTCAGGAGTGAAGAGAGCGTGAGAATGTTAAAGGATGAGCTTACGTCTTGGTGGCATGGTATGAGGCGGTGTCCTGGGACTTGAAGCGCTTGCCGCACTCGTTGCAGACCAGCGACTTAGCAACTCCAGTCTCAAGGGCGTCGATGTTGGCCTGAACCTCATTCTCATCATCTTCATCGGCCTTGGCAGCGTCGGCAGCAGCAGTAAGCTCATCGAGGGGCTTGTCCTGGTTCTTCTCGAGCCACTCAAGAGCGCCGTTCACTGTATATGATGAGCGTGAATTCAGCAAAACCAGGTCTTTGTGAAGTGCTCACGGTTTCCAGTCTTCTTCACTGCAAGCTCAGCGCGGGCCTTCTCAAAGCCCATGTCGAGCAGCTGGTCGAGGTCGGATTGGGTCATGTTGACTGCTGATGGTGGAATGGCGGGGTAGGTTGTTGAGGTTGAAAAAGTGAGGTTAGGTGTAGCTGGACAGGTTGCAATCCAAAAGTACCTTTGCTAACTTAGGTACTGATTCACAGAACGAAGCAAAGTGAACAATTCAGCCTGTACTCTGAAGAAGGAAAGAATGAACTCGGCACTGCAAACGAATTGGTTTCGGATTCGCGACAGATGGCATGCAGCTGTATGTGAAAGCACCGGCGTTCCTTAGAAATATGACCTGAGTCGTTGTTTCCGCGAAACGGACGTCATCTGCAGGTGCCTTCGGAGCTGGGGACAGAGGATAGAGGGGCTAAGGCACCTTGGGTACCTAGGTACCTTAGAGTGGCTGAGGAGACACTGGGCAGCTCGACAGGGGTAGGCGCCACCTTCCACTTTCGCCTTTGCCTGAGGTTAGGTAAGCTCAGGCACCTGGCTACGGAGTACCCGTACCCTGCTGCACCTTACCGACATTGGTGCAGTGGTGCAATCACGTCCCTTCATTTTGAGTGGACGAACTCCCGGATTATCCCCCCTGTCGATGGGCCCGGGCAGCTCGTAGCTCCCAGTGGAGGCCCCAGCAAGCAACTCCGATTTGACCGCCCGCTACCTCAGTCTAGGGGCTACCTTAATGAAACCTGGCCTGGAGGACTGAGGACGGCACCGACTGCAGCACCTGTCCCAATCCCAATCGAGTCCAGCCCAGCCCGTTGTTGGTTACGCTGGTGTGTATTACGTCGTGGGCTCCTGCAGTGCGAAACACCTGCTTTTTGCACTTGCCGTTCTTACCTGAACCTGTATCCATACCTTACCTTCGCCTGCCTACCTGCCTACCTTACCTGACCCTTCCTTCCAGTTCCTGCCATTCAACACCAGAAACCTTGCCCTTGCCTTACTTACTGCCAGCGCTTTTTTAATATCGCCCCGCGCGCAACATTCTTTCACCTCTCCATACCTACATCACGCCGTACCTCACCTCTCGCAAATTTCTTCTTCTTGCCGAGGCCCGTATTGAATGCGCCGAAACCCACCGCGTCTCCTTTTCCGATCGTAACCTTCAACTTTGCACCACCGCATCAACCACCACCATGTCTGTCGATATCGAGCCTACCGAGCTGAGCTTCAAGCGTACGCCCACCCAGCGACCTTCGATCGGCCTGATACTCACAAGTCCCAGGGCCCTTCACCGTTGAGGTCTCTCAGATCCTGCGCATCAAGAACCCGAACCAGTCTCCCGTCGCCTTCAAGGTATGTCACTGTGCACTCCCCTGCCGTCATGTCACCCCATTGCTCACGAGACAAACCGACAGGTCAAAACCACCGCTCCTAAGCAGTACGGCTCCTTGCGCCTCGTGCATCCCTCGATTGCCGACTGACGATACCCCTTAGGTACTGCGTTCGCCCAAACTCGGGTCGTATTGAGCCTGGCCAGGATGTGGAGGTCACCGGTACGCTTCCCGGACAATTGCCAGGTGGTCACACGCAACTGACCAGAACCAGTCCTCCTCCAGGCCATGAAGGCGGAACCCCCCATGGATGCCAAGTGCCGCGACAAGTTCTTGGTCCAATCCGTCCCAATTACCGCCGACAAGGAATTCGCTAGCATTGCCAACATTGTGAGAACAGACCCCAACGCCGGTCCGAAGTTGTGGCGCACATGCTAATTATTCTTGTCCACCAGCTCGACCAGACAGACAAGGCTACCCTTCAGGAGAGGAAGATTCGCGTCATCTGGCTCGCCGCCGAGGACTCATCGAACGGACCCAGCGCGTCTGCCGTTGCTTCCACTCCCAGCCGTCACTCCGTCGTCAATGGCGTGAGTCTCCCCTAGGTCCAACATATTCAAGGTTCCGATAGCTGACAAATGCCAGGACCATACTCCCGATGTCTCCCGCGTCTACTCGTCTCCCAGCCAAGGGATGGATAGTGCTAGTCCCCAGCCCGCCGCGCCCGCGAGCCCCGATGTGAAGGATGACACGGTTTCCGAGAAGGCGGTCTCGACAGTGAGCGCCGCGAGCAATGTTGTTGCCAACACTGCTCAGGTCACCTACGATGAGCTCAAGCAGAAGCTCCAGCAGGCCGAGGCCAAGATCGCCGGTCTGCAAGATACTAGTGGCCTGCGCCAACGTGTGAAGACCGAGAGCGAAAAGCTGCCCAGCCCGCAACAGGCTGCTGCGGCAGTAAGGCAGGGGGCGGAGGGCGTCCCTGTTCAGATGGTCGCCATCCTCTGCCTCGTCAGCTTCCTCCTCGCATACTTCTTCTTCTAATGCTTCGGCATCTTCTGATATTCCCCCTTTTCTACGGTCTTTTTTGTTGGAGGATTTACGAACACACCTCAAATGGCAAAGACGTGCGGTCGACTGTTGCTAGCGCACTCAAGAGCCATGGGAGAACGGTACAGCGAGTGGAGGAGGGTCTGTAGGCGACGATGGTGAATATGGAAGAGGATCCATTGATGGCCTCTGACACGGAACGGAGTCGCAAATCACACTTGTAACTATATGGCAGTTCTTTTTGTCGTAACGGCCCGGCGTCCCGGACGCGAAGTTTTCAATTCTGAAGCTTTTCATATGTCAATTGGCGCCCATTGATGCACATGTTCAATTATATGCGCAGAGGGTCCAGCTCTGGCACCGCTGTGATTGAAGTCTGGGATTGATGACGGTCTTCCCGACGGAACGGAAAGGAACCTCTATATCTCATGTCCCCAGTTATTATAACCAAAAAAAAAAGCCCCCTTTTCAATGTCTTTTTCATATCGACAGGGTTATGTCTTCAACCATGATTTACTGCAAAAAGAAAAACCCAACATTACACTACTACTCAGGCAGTAACTTTTTACTCTATATACTCTCTCAACGCCCCTAAACCTAGGCTCTCTCTCTTTTAAGCCTCAATCTCCTCCTTGGTCCACTGGGCATTGCCGCCAACCATGCGGCCGCCCTGCTTCCTCTTGACGCGGCAGGTGATGCCGACGTTCTCATCCCAGATGAAGCGCCAGATGGCGTAGGTCCAGCTACGGTGGTAGGGCAGATCCTCGTAGAATTCGCTGGCGATCTCGCGCAGGGCGGGGAGCCTGGTCCAGGGGACGGCGGGGAAGTCGTGGTGCTCGTTGTGGAGGCCGACGTTGTAGGTGAGGAAGTTGAGGGGGCCGTAGTAGGAGAAGGTCTCGGGGACGGGGACGCCGTTGGCAGGGTCCTTCTGCTGGGGGGAGACGGTCTCGTAGACGTAGTGCTCTGCGATGAAGTGGCCGGCGAGGGGGTGGAGGGAGCCGGCGAGGAAGGAGGAGACGAGGAAGTAGAGGACGGCGTTGGGGCCCCAGAGTGAATAGAGGACGTAGTCGAAGGCGAGCTGGACGGCGATGTTGAGGTAGTGCAGGGGCGTCAGGGGCACGGAGTAGACGAGGGTCGGGCGGACGGCGTAGAAGAAGATCTGAAAGGTGCAGAAGAAGGCCTTGCCGAGGATGGAGTCGAAGAAGACGGCCTCGAGGGCGGTGGGGAGGTCGGTGTCGAGGCCGTCGACGCCGAGGGACTTGTGATGGGTGAGGTGGTAGGGCTGGTAAAGATTGGATGTCAGTATGTTATGTTCGCGGGGGAAGAAGGAGGTTGCCTCACCCTGAAGGAGGCGCTATACGGCACGCCGATGGGCAGGTTCGCGAAGATGGCGAAGAGGCGGTTGGCCTGCGGGGAGCGGAAGGCGAGGTTGTGGGAGATTTCGTGGATGGCGAGGAAGAGGTTCTGGTTCGCGGTGGCGCCGAAGACGTAGCCTACGGCCCAGAACTTCCAGGACCAGAAGGAGGTCTCGCTGAGGTACCAGGCCCAGAAGACCTGCATCGCGACGACGCCGGCGACGACATACTTTGTCAGGGGCTCGGGACCGCAGAGCTTGGTGACCTGAATCGAAGAAAACCCGGACGTGTCAGTCTTGCATGTTGCAGAATTATACGGAAGCCATTGGGGTTCCCGGGAGAGACCTTACCTCTGGGTGAGCCTTGATGATGGCCAGACGGCGGGTGCGGTGAGGCTCTTCGGTGTAGGTCCAGAAGAAGTCGCGCTCCTTAGAGGCCGGGGCGGGTTGCGCCTCGGTGGTGAGCTTGCCGGCCGCGGCGCCGTTGGCGGCGGCAGCGGTCTTGCGCTTGGACGGCTTCGTCACTGTCTCAGCAGCGGACGAGGCCATTGTTGCGGTGGTTCTTTTGCAAGAAAGGGTGCTTTGCTTTGCTTGCTTGTAGCGTGACAAGGCAAAAAGGCGTGCGTCTCTTCCCAAGAAAGTTGGCCCCGATCTCTGGGTTGTTGTCGGTGGTGGACGGCAGTAAATTATTGGTGGTGGAAAATCTGTCCTAAACCGGGGAATAGGGGACGACGGGACAGAGAAAGTGGAGGACGAGGGGCGAAGGGGGAAAGTGGGAAGAGGGAAACGAGAATCCGATCACCGTGGTGTGGTCGGGTGGGTGGTCCTCAGACGGTCATTGATATATATATACGTAAAGAAGGGAACAGTGCTTCTCAAACGGGAAAAAGACAAGACGAAAAGAGAGAGAGTCCCTTGATGAACCACGCGTAGGTAAATTTTGATGTTCCCCCTCTGGCGCAAATATCGAGCGTTGGTGGGAGAAGAATCATGCCTCGAAAATGGCAAATCTCCTGATGCGGGCTGTAGGGGATCCGGAGCGGTGTACAATGCGCCGCTGGGGGGGAATTGGGGACTTTGCCTTCTGGACCAGTGTGCTGTGGCGCAGCGGGTATCAGTGGGGGAAGGGGACATCCCTGCCCCGCTGTGGCCAATCGTTCGGGGCATGTGTTTTGCCTTTCTTGCCTTTCTGCTCTGCTTCGAAGGGATGGTCGCACGGGTCGCACCAACGAATTTTTGTGAGGAGCTCTTATGGGGAAGAGAGACAGGGGATGCTGTGGCGTGGCAGAAAGCAAGAGACATTATTATTTTGTTTCTGGTGCTGTTGAAGGCTGGAGGAGGACGAGCTTGGCCTTGCCCCCCTTGTTGTTTCCCCTGAACCACCAACACCAACACCACCCCAAAGAAACGGTTGAGGGAGGGGAATTGGGGAAATTCTAGAACCCCCACTGCACCCCCTTCTCCAGTTGCCTCGCTTCCCCTGCAGGTCTCTGTGCAACGCATCTGGGGGAGAAGGATAGGCGCAGCAATGTTATCGTGCATGTGCGAGATGGAGCACCACACCTTCATCCGCCTCCGTCCGTCTGCATCTCTTCATCCTTCTCTCTCAATGGCTTTCGTTGGAGTCTCACGAGCAAAGCTGGGATCTGTTTTCGTCGCTTGCACGGAGCCAATGGGCATCTCGGTGCAGGTCATCATCTGACGGGGTCTGTACGCCGTCCTGTTGCATTGGAAGCTTGAGTGGAGGATGATCCCTGCCGCCTGTTGGAGCTGTAGGGTTCGTTCTTCTCTTTTTTAGCTTCATGTATGCGGCCTGTTGTGGCTGCTGTCTGATCAGGTACCGGATGAAGATTACGTCGTATGTCAAGTGATTCCCCCAAAGGCACGTTACGCAGTGCTCGTGCTGTGCGAGGGGAGAGGCAACGCAAGGACGACCATCACCGCGTGGTGTGTTCAGATTCGGGCCCGGGGAGGGAGACTCGTGAGTGGATGGAGGGAAGGACGCCGATCCCCGGTGTATTTACTCTCCTCCCGCGCCGTCCTAGGTTCGGCACTGTGAGCCGCGGGCCGGTCAGAGACATATTGGGGTGTCATATCGGAGTGTTTACATTGGTGCGAGTGATTGGGCCGTTGAGCATGCCGTTCCTGCCGCGCTGTTTACCCGCCATGGTTATCCAGAGTTGCTTTTGCAGAGTGATATTAAATGCAGATTGCTCTCGGAGGGAGTTGGGCCGTGGCGAGGGGGAGGAAGTTAAGAGAGTCGAGACATAAAGTTGGGCGAAGGTTTGACGCGACGTTGCGACGAACGCTTCTCTCCGCTGAAATTCGAGTGCACACATCACGACAACGCGAAACTTCACCATGCGCCTCGTCCTACTCTCGACGCTCTTGGCGTCCGTCACCGGCGTGGCTGTCGCAAAACCCGAGAAGATCAGGGGCGTCAGCGACCCCGTCTACCACTTGTACCTTCAAGCTTACCCGAAGGACACGACGGTGCCCGTCTTGGGGCCCGAGGCCTCAGCCGAGTCTTTCAATATCGCGGGCTCCATCCAGAGCGCCAACTCGAGCGCGTACCTGAACATCGGAAGCGATACCACGTCGTACAAGAGCCTCAAGTTTAGCAACGCCTCGGAGACGACGGCGTGGGGGCTCGAGGGCGACACCATCATTACGACCCAGGGGAGCACCTGGGGCCGCCGTGAGTGAACCGTGTTGTTGTTGTCGTTTGCTGCATCATTAAGGAAGTCATTGTGCTGACGACGCGAGAACAGAGCTGAATTTCTTGGTTTGCGAGCTTGAGCAGGGGTATTGGCAGGTGTACCTGCAGACTGGGAGTGACACGCCGAGCGGCAAGACCTGCAGCAATTATCAGACGATCCATCTTCCGTGCTTGTGTTAGGCAGATGCAACTTTGGCCTGGGGGTGGTTAGTGGTGGGTTGGTTAGTTAAGTGGAGGATGAGCTATGTGGACGTTACATTTAGGTAGCAACCAGATGATCGCCCTGTCAAGAGGCAGCCAGCGGCTGCTGAAGAAACATTATGTGTGTGTATGTGCACCTGCGTGCCTGCTTGTCTCTGTGCGACTCAAGAAAACATAGTTTTTGTGATGCTTTGCATAGATGAACAGGGAAACCGTTGGCTGTCAGCGCAGGCGGCCTTCGGCGATCGGCCGGCGCGAGTTTATTAAATCCCGATGAGGCTTGGGTTTAGAGGTTGTGCGACTCAATTTTGAGTTACTTGTCAGGTGATGTGAGTGGGAGTTCAGGTGGCTGAGTAAGTTGTTGTTGGAGTAATAGGTGCTGTTAGATCAGCAAACAAAGGTTTTGTTGCACAATGGTTACCTTTGCAGAGATACATGAGGTTTGACTGTGAATACTCAACAGACTGAATATAGGAGGCGCATACGGAGGAGAGGCAACAGACAACATCGGGCTTAGGTTGTATATCGGAGACTTGGCGGCGACTTCCGTGCATCAACGTCATGCGTATGCTGTGCTCTGTTCGCATCTATGTCGAGAATAGGAAAACGCTCATCAGAGTAAGTCTCGCTTGTGCTGTTAAGAGTCAAGCTGCGGTCCCGGAAAGAAGCAGTGGCACGCGAGACCCTTGAATATTAAGCAGTTGGAGTGATACTTGGCTCTGTCCTGCACCGGGAATAATGTTAGAAGAAACGAGACACCATGGGAGGCAAACACTCACAATATCGGGCGGTATCCGCGTGAAGCGATAGTAACTCGGAATATGGGCCATGTGCCAGGGTGATCAACACTGCGTCCACTACCAGCACCAAGAGCAGTACGTTGGTGTAGGAACATGATTGAAGGTTTGCGCTTAAGGCAACAAGGTAGACCGAAGATGCTAGGCGACGGCTGCGAAGACAGCAATTCTGGATTCCGAGATTACCGTCAAATTCTCATTCTAACTTCAGCTGGATGGGTAGATGGAAAACGTCAAAAAGTCCAGGTGACTCGCAGGAGGTGCAGCGATTTCAAGCCTAAGAAGGGTTAGGTGATGTTGAGAAGGAGACAGACGAAGGAGGGGTCCCATGATTGGCTGTCACATGCAGAGTTCACGACGAGCAGCCAACAGTCGTTGGCCCAGGGCAGGGATGATATCAGAAGGGAGCGGAATGGCACAAGCAGAGTGGAGGCGCTCTCCATTGCCAGGAACCTTTAGCTGCAGGACGCTCTGCAACGCTGCAATAACCGCTGCAATATCTACCTAATTTCCAACAGGGCAAGGGGCCATTGATTCTGGACCGGCTGGGTTTTGGAGGATCCGGACCGGACCTGCGTCTGGTAATCGCAGAGGACGGGCGATAGGGGCACGCGACCTGGATAATGTCCCTTTTTTGCGCACCAACTTAAATATGCGCCTCTTCAAGCAAAAGGTACACTACAGAATACTTTGGTTTGTTACGGAAGCTTGGCGCCCTCTGGCTTGAGCCTATTAGATAGAATAGGATTGTTGCTGTTTGTTAAGGCAGAAGAGACAATGAAACCGTTGCAATTATGCCTCTTTTCTTTGAGAGCGAGATGCCACAGAAAGAAACAGTAAATCAAAGACACCTGAGAAGTTGCAGCTTCACCGCCAGCACCAACCAACCACCAGTCTTGTTGTGCGACAGGTACTTCCCAAGCCAACCAGAGGCTGGTTCTGGTGGTTCTGTCTGCACTCTGCAGGCTGGTCATCAACGCCACGTGAAGATAAGCTAACCTGGAGGACTTCCTGAGCTTGCACGCACCGCACCCTGTCCCTACCTCACCTTTACAAGTGCTGGAGGTACCTACTAGGCGAACGGGACCACCAGTAGGACCGGCCTTAGCCTTAACGATAAGCCCAAGCTCCAAACTCTGGGTCCCAAGAGCCCAGGCAGGTCTGCATCCGCTTGCGCTTCCTGCCACCTCGCCCAAAAATCTCCCGTCCCGGTTGAATTTAATCACCCAGGCTTCCAGACAGTGGCCCACCTTTGCGCTCCTTCTCCTCCGAGCGAACGCGAAAGCCCACGTTCCACAATCACGGCCTCACCTACAGCTTTCAGTTGCTGTAGAACCACCATAACTCCGACTCTGCATCGCTGCTCCCTTGGCTGACGAATCGAGAGAGAGAGACGACCCCTTCCCTCCTTCGACTCCCATCTCGGCCTCGGTCCGCTCAACGTCTCGGTCTCTGCACCAAACCACCGGATTACCTCGAACGACCCCGAAAAGCACCACCAGGCGCTTCCTCCCTCGCTCTCCCTCCGACCGAGCCCTCTCCCATATCGGTTCGCCAGCCAAAGTGGCCGGCCATCGCCAGAAACAACCTCCTCTCTCGGCGCGGCTCCAGCAAGCCAGCTCGTCGCGCCGATGTGGTGGTTTTTCCGCATCGTCGCTAGTGCCATCTTCTTGCTGAGCATAGTCCTGTCAATACCCGTCGCCTTCGATGTGGGAGGCAGAGACAGCGGCTTGGCCTACAGCCTTGCCCTATGCGGCTTCTACTTCGTCTACTCCGCCATCGCCGTCGTCACCCCCGCCGAGTCGCGCGTCCGCTGGGCCATCAACGTCATTCTTCGTTTGTCGCAATGGATTGTCATCCCCGGCCTCTTGATCTGGGCTCTTGGTCGCTTCGCTGTAGACGCTGGTGCGACCAACTGGGTGGAGAGGACGCTGCAGGGTATCACGAGCTCCAAGACAACATCATGGGGCGAGTGGGTGTTTGGCGAGGGCGGCGTGATCGAGACCATTACCCTGGGCGGCTGGGATAAGACTCTGAGATACTCGAGCCCCGTCTTCCAGCTGTTGGAGGGGTTTTGCACTTTGCTCGTCATCCAGGCCGCAGGCCAAATCACAAAGTGGCTGGTCAACAGAGGAAGAAGCGATACTTGGGTTGTAAGTGGAAACTCCGTTGGTCGAGTCAAGATGTCTAGATTGTCCCTGCGGGGACATGATATCGTCGCTCAGAACCCCGTTCTCTTATACGCTTGCTAACGTCATGCTAGATTATTCTGCTCGCTATCTCCGGCAGTGTGCTCGCCAGTGCCGTCTACTTCCTATGGCGCGTCGCCCACTTCTCTTACATTGACAACTTTGATGCCATCAGCATCGGCGTCACCATGACCACGGCCTTCTTCCTGTGTGCCTATGGAATCGGCAGCGGGCGCGGGAACCCCATCGAGTCTTCGCTCCTCTTCGCATACGTCGTCCTCTGCGTCTACCAGATCTTCACCGACTACCTTCCCTCCGAAAACACTGAGGGGGAGCACAACCAGTCGTCGCAACCCGAATTTCCCCCGCTCCCACCAATCATCATGGCGTCTTATTCAACTCTCTTGCACATGCTCGGCTCACTTCCCTACGCCGTTCACTCGTCGCTCAGTCTCCTTTACGCCGCTTTCCAAACTATCACCCCTTCCGTTATCATCTCTCTCGCTTTCCGTCTCCTCGTCTTCTACTGCGCTACCCGCATCATCCCCGCAGTCCGCGAATCCGGGGCCAGAGCGCTCATGGAGGAGCCTTCTCTTGAAGATACGGATGCCGCCAACTGGCTCATCGGCATCATCACCTACTTTTCGCCGTCAATTCTCATCGCCATGTACACGAGTTTACTGCTGCAACACTTCTCGACTAACGACGGGCCAGATGGATGGACCCTCAGAGGCGGGGACCCCGGCGGCAACGTGTGGCGCTGGACCAACGTGATCGCAACCATGATTCTGTACGCCATTGAGCTTTACCTCGGCGATGGAGACCATGATGGCGGTCTGACGAACCACTGGAAGCTGGACTGAGCGACGCAACACTCTCCACCATCTTTCTGAAAGTCTTCCTGGGACATGGGCGAAACATCCTCAGTTCTCGGGGTCTAATGAGCGCAACCTGCTCGAGTATGTGAGGGCAGGACACCAAAAAAATCCGATTGATCAACGTACATAGGGTCGTTATGAAACAAGGCTTTGGGCACGGAAAGGGGACAGGGACAGGCACAATACGGCGTTACGGGAGGAAGTCTGCATGCTCCAACGGCGACTTTTTTGTTAACCATGGATTCTGCGGGGAGGGCTTTGACGGGACTTTTGACTTCGGCAGCCCGGGGGCATATTACTATTACTGCCTCGAGCTTTTCCATCTTGCAGTAGGAAACTCATTTACTAAATTCACCGCATTGGAAATATTGTTACGGTCTGGCATCGTGAGCGATGTTTGACGTGGGCTGATGTGTGGACGCAATGACAGAGGCTCTGGTTTCGTTTAGCCCATTAGCTGAAAGCACAACTCTGGTTTGCCGGTATGTATCCGTTCACTTTGAGAATACGGGTGTGCCTAAGACAGTTCTTTGATTTCCAACTTCGATAGTCGGTCGTGGCTAATCTGTCGCGAAGAGCGCAAGGCGATGGGACGGCCTTAATAGCCGATGATCTATCTCGTCACCTTCTCGCCCTGTTTTTCTCTGGCAGAATGATCCGGACCATGTGCCAGGGGGAAATGATATCGCCTAGAGCTAAAGCTGCCCGTTGATGAGAGAACCGGTCGTTCCTTCCCAGCCATCACCGGCAGCCCCTTCCCTCGCAACCACAAAGAATCCCCCTCTGCTTCCGCCTCACCTGCAAGGCAACGAGTCCAAGGATACTTGGCCAACTGTCGTCTGGTCTGCTTTCAACAGTTCGACAGGGAAACCACCCAAGTGGCCCAGTCGGTAAAAGCGAAGCTTAACAAGTTCCTCTCTAGAGATGCAATCTGAGTCTGAGGGGGGCGCTCGTTCGAAACGCGCGAGGGCCTCGAATTAAAACGGTGATTCGTTTTTTTCCCTTGCTTATCTTATCTATCCTCTTGTCTTTCGTCGCTTTTCTAACCGGCTTTCGCGGGATAACACTCCTCACTATGCAAGAGCCTCCTCGATCTTATTTGCGCATCACGCAGAGTAGAATTTCAGTAGAATTTTCTGTAGTATTGACTGTTCTATTTATTCTCAGCAGCAAACTAACGACTACTTACGCAAGTTATATCTGCACTAGAACGAATCTTCCACGTTTTCGACACCGTTGCCTTTGTTTATGTGCCATCTCAGATGTGCGAAGCAAATTCCCATAATTGTTCGTCTGACTTAGACCACCACACTTTCAAGTGGTGGTCAACATATCATCCCAGAGGTTGGAACCAACCTTGAACACATGACAGGAGCCAAAATTTGAGAGAAGCTGATTTGAATTGTTCGTATCCTCGGAAACGTGATACAGCCGGGGTTTTGCATGGGGACAGTTCGTGTAGGTCGCGGCGGCGCTCGCACGGGAATAATGGGTCCCAGCTCCGACGTCTCAACCCCGACCTCGGCAACAGCTCTCCACCCCACCTACAACTTCACTTACACCTCACAACCTCAACACCACTCTCAATCATTACAAATACATATCAGTACCTCATCACTCGAACTTCATCCTCACGCACGGAAACTTCTCCTTTGTAGCATCATAGTAACATCAAAACGTCCAAACCAAGAAGACCAAATAAAAAATGCCGGAGCAAAACCCAATGCAAACCACCGCGGGGTCCCCCACGGTCTCGAAATCCACAATCCTCATGTCGGGCCTCCTCGTCGACGTCTACGGCCTTGCAGAGCTCACACCGCTCCGCCCGGCCGCCGTCTCCGTCCTCTGGCTCTACCACGGCCGCGGCCGCGCCAAGGAGGACATGGGCGCCTTCGCCTCGCGCATCATCTCCCAACACACGTCGTCGTCGCCGGCGGAAACGAAGAGGGGCCTCATCGCCGTGGCGTTCGACCAGCGCAACCACGGCTCGCGCCTCGTCTCGGACAAGGCCAACGAGTCCTGGCGCGGCGGCAACGAGAGGCACGCCGTGGACATGTACGCCATGGTCGCGGGCATGGTCAGCGACACGAGCGGGCTGATGGACGTCGTCGAGGGGTACCTCAAGAGCGAGCTCGGCGGCGGGGCCGGAGAGTGGAGGGTCGATCAGCATGTCGCGCTTGGGGTGAGTCTGGGCGGGCACAGCACGTGGCAGGCGCTGTTCGGGGAGGAGAGGATGGTGGGTGGGGTTGTGATCATCGGGTGTCCTGATTACATGGGTGAGTCGTGTTCTTCTCCAGTCCGCCTGGGATAAGGTGAATAGGTGCTAATGGTTTGCCGGTGAAGCATTGATGTCGGACCGCGCGCAGAGATCGAAGCTGGCGACCTTCTCTGCGGAGGACGCCGGGGCTTCATTCCTGGGCAGCAGGGACTTCCCGCCGGACCTGGTCGCGGCCTGTCTGCGGCACGACCCGAAGGGCATTCTCTTTGGGACCGGGCCCGTGCCGACCTCCGCGGTCGCCGAGGCCGCTGAGCAGCAGCGGCTGCGGGGCCTGCTGGACGCCCGTGTAAGGGGCAAGAAGTTCCTCGTCTGCTCGGGCGGGGACGACAAGCTGGTGCCGTACTCCAAGGCGAAGCCGTTTGTGGACTTCTTCGAGGAGGCGACGAGGACGTGGTACGTGGACGGGGGCGTCGTGTTTGAGAACATTGTGTATGAGGGCGTGGGGCACGCGTTCAGCGAGGGCATGATTGAGGACTCGTGTCGGTTTTTGCTGGATGTCGTCAATGGGGCGGCAGAGAAGGGAGCAGAGAACAGGTCAAAGATTTGAAAATGGTATTAATTGGGCTTGGAAATCGGGATGTATGTAATCATGCCCACGGCCTCTTGGCGTCCTCCGCGAGGGCCTCGTGGTCGTCTATTATCCTAGTCACGACACCGCTTCTGCTCCTCTCTTCCTCGCTTGCGAAGAGTCTGTCACGTAGATTCCACGGGTTGCGGGCGCGGCGTTTGCGCGACAGGCTGGGCCCGACACCGTGCGGGTCTTTTGTCCATTCGTCCACGGCGTGCTGTACGCCTGCGACGGCCCCTTGCTTTTGGACCCCACCGCCATCAGCCGAGGAGGAGGTGGCGAGCGCGGCTTGCATGCCCGGCGGGTCGATGCCGAGGTACGCCACGCGGTCGAGGGGGAACCCGATGGCGGCGCAGTGGCCGTCGACGATGCGGGGCTTCTTGAAGGCGTGGCTGACCACGGTGAGCTTCGCGGGCCAGGGGGCGGCGGGATAGGTGCGCCAGAAGAGGAGGAGAGAGTGGAGGACGTTGTGGTAGGAGTCGAGGGCCTGGGTGTCGTTGTGGATGCGGGATGTGAAGTCGTCGTTATGTGCGGGGAAGATGTCAAAGTAGGCGTTTGCGGAGGCGAGGTTGGCGTAGCTCTGTGATTCCGCAAGGGTCGTCTCTTTGCGGGTTGGGCCTCTGGCTTGGGTGTTAGTTTTCCATTATCAATGATTTATTGAGTGGTATGCGGCGACCGAAGACAAAAGGTGCAGGAGACCAATGAGACGCATTGCCATATCAACAACTTCGGTGCGGTTTTCTTCGCCAAGACGGAATGGGAGCCGGGGTAGCTTACCCGGAGAATATGAGCGCCGTGGCGGGATCATCCCGGAGCGCGGTGAGACCGGCCTTGATGTGCTCGATGAAGGTCGGCGTCTCGCCGGCTTGGAAATCGGCAATGAGCCACTCCGATTCGTCTCGGCCGTTGGTGGGGCCGCCGGTCCAGATGCCGTGGCAGCAGACAACGATGAGATGAGTTGGGGCGCTCATGGTTGATTTCGGGGATGAGCAAGGCGGGTTTTTTTTTATGAGACCGAGTTGGCTTGCAATGATCGTACTGTGGGCGCGCTGGTGGATCATGTGATCGTGTGGCGGTGAGAGGCATGTTTCGCCGTCAGTGTTATGGGATGCGTGGTAGACCTGGGGTGATGCTCTCGCCAAATACGCTCAGCTCAGACATCTCAAAGCAGGATACAAGTAAATATTTCAGAGATTTGTTTTAGATTGTGTTGATGCCTCAAGCTATCTCATCATAAGCTCCGTACGCATCTCCAACGAGATATAAACTGCCAGTGACCACAATAGGACCATTGTCGACATTGTCGACAGCCCACTTCATCGCAGCGTCGAGGCTCTCGTCACCCAGGTACAACTTCTTTGCACCAGCCTCGGATGCCATGTCACGTAGGGCAGCTGGAGGCAGAGGCTCAACCCAGGGCATCGTCTCCCGATGGGAAAATGGCACACAAGCGACACTGTCACCGGGCCTCAACAGGGTTCGGAGCATACCACCAGCGTCCTTTCCGTCCTGCTTAGATACCGACACTATCCAAGTCACAGGCTTATTCGCAACTCGCAGACGCCGCTCGACATATGTGGAGAGCGTTTCCGCAGACTGCGGATTGTGTGCACCATCAATAAGAACAGGCTTGCCCTGACGTGCGGGGTGCTTCTTGCTCACGTCCAGCCACGATAATCGGCCTAGATGACTGACGTCCTTCAAGATTGGCAGGGCTTGCTCGGCCGAAAGTTTCAAGTCGGGATACGCAAGCTGGAAAGCCGTAATGGCGCAAGCCATGTTCTGGGCTTGGTGCGGCATTAGCTCAGACCGGTAGAGCGTTTCCAGCAGACCGGTCTGGTTGGTGGTGAGGTGCAACGGCGCGGACACGCTTTCGGCATGCTTCCGGAAGACCTCGAGGACTTCGGGCGGATTGCTGCCGTCGACGACGCAGGGCACGCCAGACATCATGATGCCGGCCTTCTCCTTTGCGATCTCTGGCAACGTGTTGCCGAGAAAGGCCTGGTGATCGAGACCGATCTTTGTGATGACGGTAACCTTTTTGCGCTTGAGGACGTTGGTCGAGTCGAGTCGTCCGCCGAGGCCGACCTCGACGATGCCCATTTGCACATCGGCGTGCGTGAAAACGCCAAAGGCAATGAGAGTCGTCACTTCAAAAATGGAAAGTTGCTCTTGCGAAGAGTCCTGGGCCAGCCGTGCTTGTTCGTCGTCCAGAATCTTGTGTCTCACGTCGTTGTAGACATCCTGCTGTACGGGCGCACCATTGATCTTGATGGCGTCGCGGGGCTCAACGAGGTAAGGCGAGGTAAAGAGGCCGTTTGAAATACCGAAGGATTTGCATAGAGCCGACAGGTAGGTGCAAGTCGAGCCCTTTCCATTGGTACCGGCGACGTGGATGGCATCCCACTTCTGGGGTGCGCCCTCGAGAGCCCTCGAGATGCGGTGGAGGCCGAGGCTGATGCCCTTCATGGCCATGTTGCAGTTCGCTCCTAGGTCAGGTCTGGGGTTTGGGGAGCTTGGCGGGGATTTCGGTACTTTGAAACCGAAGCTTTAGGCGCGGGCCATGAGGGTACGAATAAATCGCCGATAGTATCTCGGCTCTGGAGCCGAACGGACGGAAGCCAGCAGACAGGGGCGGTAGGTAGCCCGGCAACGGATCCAAATTCCTCAGAGTGGCTCCTCTGCCTGGGAGTGAGTCACTGGAGCTCACTGGTGATGGACGGGTCTTGGATTTTCAGGGTCCTGGAGTCGCATCCGGCGACCACCTACCTGGATGGATGCTGTGGACGATACCGTCCAGTCAGACCGACCCGAACCTTCCGCCATTGGGTCGAACCTACGTGAATGCGGTGCGGGAAGCCCACGCGTGGAAAGCACGACGGGAACAGGCCGCCCAGCCCAGCCCAGCAGCAACACCCGCATGAGCGCTGGGCCAGGTGCCGGGCTGGCAGGTGTCTGTTGGTGCCGCTTACCTTATCTTACAGCAAATTGCCGTAGCAGTAACTAACGGAAAGGGCGATCGGTTGCGAGGTGCACGCGGCAGCTGCAGCCAGTCAACGGGGCGACAAGCTTCCCAGCCACACCTGATCCAAGCTTTCCGCTCTCCACCATTCGCCGAGGGGTGGCCGTGATTGGGCAAAGATGACCTGCTTTCAAGAGTGGGCGCCACAGGGGCTGCTGCAGAACGGTGGCCAGCCACTCACAGAAAAGAAAGTAAAGCGGCTATTCCCCAAAGATGCTGGCCTTTCGTCTTTTTTCCCCCTTCCCTTCCCTTTCGCCTCTCCAGTCCAGTCTCCTCTCACTCAAACCCGTCCCCGTCCCTGTCTCCATCCCCCATTCCGCCCGCCCGCCCCACGAAAACGAAGCCTTTTAGCACCGCTTCGCGCATCGCGAAACCATCGCGACCACGGCTCCATTTCCATCAACGACGACAGTCGCTCCATCTAATCCTGCGACTCGCCACCTGCCATTCATTCCTTCCGCCTTTGGTCGTTGATATTATTGCGCGTCGTTGCTCAAGATGGGACTCCCGTAAGTCTTTCCCCCCTGCGCTGCCCGCTTGCGCTGCGTTGCCGTTGCGCCGCGCCTGGTCGGACGTTGGCTCAATTTCAGCCCGCCCATCAGTCGCGTCCGCCGCATCAATCCACTCCAATGCCTTCGTTGAATCCCGTCTCGTCTCTTGCCTATCACACCACCAATACCGTCCGCGTTTCCTTGATCTCGAATTCCCGGCCGCATGATGGACGCCTCGATTTCGTCGATACCGAGACACTATGCAATTCCCATCGCTGTACCCGGGGGTCTCATCCCACTCTGCCTTCGCATCCCCCGCTAATCTTGCAACTTCCCCATCTGCAGACTCTTCGTTGCCCCTGTCGAGTCCGACCTGCCATCCAAGCTTGGTGATAAGTCGGCCTCTGCGCGCCAGCCTCGCTCTGTCATTCGCCGAAGCCGACGCAACGTCGATGCTCGCCCCTTCCGTCGCCGCGCCGCCTTGCTTCGCGACAACTTCCCCACTCCTGGCCCCGAGCCGATTCCACGGCACCGGTACCCATGGATTGAGTCGGGTCATCCCCCTCCTCCCGAGGCCTACGCCGCACCACCCCCGCGGACCACTCCGCCCAGCGACGCGGATCGTTCGGCGCCGTCCGCGGAAAGTACCGAGTTGCGCGAGGCTTTGCGCGAGGTGCGCAGTCGCGGCGACTCCAGAGAGGCACAACTGATGTCGCTCTTTGGCGAGCGCTGGGCTCTGGAAAACGTGCCTCAGCCGCCCCGGAGAATTCCCAGTCCCCCTTCTGCCGAAGAAGGTCGCTCCATATGGGAGGAGATTTCTCGCCAGTATAACAGCGCATTTGGCGAGCATGATAGGCCATCGATGGATATCATCACAGATCCCGTCGAGAGGCGGAGACACCGCGCTCAGGTTGTTGCTCGAATGTCCATGGTCGGTCTGCTTGTCGAACACATGACTGAATTGCTGTGCTGACACGCTGCAGCCTGCCCCTCCTGTCGCTGCTCGATTTGATAGAAGTCCGGAACACTCAACCTCAGCCAGAGCATCTGGCCGTTCTTTGCGTGAAGAATCGCGCAGTGAGTCGCAACCCTTCCGCTATGTCCGTCGTCGCTTCGGTCATTTGGGCGAAAACCCCACCGCAGACGGTCTCGGGGACCGAAACAGGAGCCTCAGCCCAGACGAAGATGGCGTGTGGGACACGCTCCTCACCACATTAACCCCGGATCCTCAGCCTCCCAGTGCCGGATCGTCATTTGCTTCGGCATCGGCGTCGGCATCTGCGTCTCAATCACAGAGCGCCGGCGCATCATCTCGCACTTCTCTCACCGGACCTGAAATGGCCGAAGAGTCTCTGGAGCAACCCTGCGAGTCCGGAGTTGACGGCTCTGATAGCGAGGGACAGGAAGATCTTCACATGGGAAGGGGATGGCCCGACCACTGGACGATGAACTACCCGTCGAGGCATCGGCGATTTGTGGCCGATTTGGATGCCAATGACCCGAGCAGGATTTCATTCGTTCGGGCGGACCGGCCCTTCACTGACCGGGACGCAATCGAAATGCGGCATCGTCGACGCCTTGAACTTGCTCGACATTATCGCAATGCGACACGTGATCTGACCCCACCAACGGGTGCTCTGGATCGCATTGCGAGGGATTCGAGCGAGGAGTCTCGAGGAGCTGCCGCAGACGCCGATGGCGATTCGGCTCCAACGAGTCATAGTCACACGCCGAACGATAACGCTCTTCATGGAATGCAAATGATCATGCGGAACCTAGCCCGAAGGGAAGACATTCCTGATGAGTGGTGGGCGGGCGCTGGTCTCAGCAGGACTTTGCCCGAAGAATCTTAGAAAAAGGGGGCTATACTTGATCTTCATAATCAGTTTTCACGTCAAAAAAACAAAAGCGACAGGCGGGTCCAGCGGCTCTTGCGACGGACTCTTTTTTTATTTTCAGAATTGGTTGGAGTCTAAAGGGATATGGGCGCGAATGCGGACATGATGGGGTCCCCGGCGCGATGCAACGGCATGGGCGGGCTGTATACTATGTGTATTTGTTCGGCGCGAAGAGGCGTCTTTGTCCTACGGGAGGCTCGCGATGGCGTGACGGGTTCAAGAGAGCCCGGATTATGATGAGAGAATAAAATGGTGAAGCAGCCGGTGGCTGTTCTCTAACTCACAGTTGACCAACTCAATGTTGTGATTTCCGTCGTGGGCATGTTGAGATCAAGTTGATTAATGGCGAACGAAACAGCTGAGTTTAGGAGAATGGTAAGATCTGAGTTCGACGTGACATTTGTCGAGGTCCTGATCAGCAGCGATACTTCGTCTGACGGTCGATCCATACGATGATGTGGGCCACGTCCCATGGAATCAGGGCAGTGCAGAGGAATGTATCTTGAACCATTTTCCTCTGCATTTCTAGGTATATGTCAACAAGCTATCCATCCCATCGATCGAGGCAGCATATGCAACCCGTGCTGGCTGCTATTTAGCCTGTACTGTTAGAGTGCCTTGGTTCCTGGGCTTTCACGAGACGTTCACGTCGTTGGTTTAGGCTGATGCAGGTCGCCGGGCTGGCCACTCACATGTCACAATCTGGGGGCTAGCCTCCGTGTGTTTTTTCTCTTGCCGTGCTAGATGCTGATCACTTCTCTTGGGCGGCGCCCCTAGTGTCTAACTCCCCCTTGTTCGAATCGCTTGGTGACCTTGGGGAAGCACAAGGGCGACTCGAAGAGACGTAATGAGAGGGTCAATCGGTGGCCCGGCTTTGGACATGGGGATTGGATGGAGGACAGGGACTCGGGGAGGGGTGGGAAAGCTTGAGAGGAGAGGTAGGGGTAGGTAAACCGCTGTATTCGGCCGTTGGCAGGCAGGGGAGGGTTTGTTGACCTTTTTAGACGAGACACATTGTCACCATGCAACCTGAGCAACGGGCGGCCGATATAACCGCGCAGGGCCCTGTTGACTGTTGACTTTCTCGATGTGATGTGTGATGCGATGTGACGAGCCCACTCCAAGCTTCTGAGCCAGACTTCTCATGTGTCAATGGACAAGCAAGTCGATGGAATGTGCAGGACGGGCGCTCGGCCGAGTGTGACGTTTTTGGTGTGTCCGAGCTGGGGATGGTCTTCTTTGTGGAATTGGAAAAAGTCTGGGGAAGCCTCAGGCAGTGTGGAATGCGTGCGCATCTAAGGCAAGGTACATTGACAGATGTATTCACTTTACGAAGTGCTCACGGCCAAAGGTGAGGTGAGAAGTTCCGCAATGACAAAAGTGACGATGGACCGGAAGGAGTCTGTTCTTTTGTTTCCAGTTCAGGTCGGATGGCTCTAGCGGGTGCGTCTAGAGCTTCTAGCGCGTGGTGGCCCTGGTGCTTAGCGCGTCTGCCCAGCGTTCGTTCACTAAAAGTAGGCGCACCTCAAATGCCTGGCCACCACATGGTGCTGGGCTGGCCTCTCGACCGGGTGGCCCTGGAAGGATTTGGAGAGATGGAATGGAAATGGAAGTCACCCCGCTCGCCCCTCACGGCGGGCAGCGCAGGGCAGCTGAGCCCGTTCCCAAGGCCCCCAAGAGGGAAGCCCCAAGGCTGTCCACTTGGCGTGTTGGTGTGTTGGTAGGCCGGGGGCCCCTGTAGGCACAGGGGGTAGTGGGTGTGATAGCGACGGCGGCGGGTGCGAGAGGTGGCACAAGCGCCGCGAAGAGTGGTTCCCTCTCAGCAGCGCAGGGCACCCACGCATCATTGTCATTGCTGCTGCCCTTGCGACCTGACAGCGAAGGGCCTTGGTCCATTGATCTTTTTGGAGCACCCCAATGCCGGTTCAGCCCAGTTAAATCTTTCTCGCTCGCTCTGTCTCTCAGGCGTCCCGTCCTCAGCCAGCAAAGTGTCTTCGATTTTTCTGTGTCCCCTTCCTCGTCTCAGTCAGTCGAGTGGAAAGGTTTCGTCTGTTCTCTCTTCTCGTCCTGGCCCCGGCACGGAACGTCTTCTAGATTTTATTTTCCTTTTCCTTTCATCGCACCTTTTTTTACCCTTTCGTCTGACAGACAACCCCCCACCCATTCCGCTCGTTTACTGTTGGACGCTGGGGTGTGTTGTTGACCGATCGAGAGAACCCCTCCACCGCCGCACCGCCGCACCGCCCACCGAACCGAACGACCGTCAACGACCACACAACGTGAAACGAGAAGAAACGACCAGAGAGATTGCCGAGCTTCTCCTTGCACCCTTGCCTGCAGAACCGAGGGAAGCCTTGAGGTTGGCTGGCTAACTACGACTTGGGGGTTTCTGCCTGCGTGCGTCTGTTGTGTCGATATTTGGAGATTCCACGCCTGCTGCGCACTGCTTTCGCCTCGAGATTCGACCCGACCCGACCCGGCTTCTTCTTTCGCCCTCCCCGTCGAACACCCGTTGAAATCTCACATGGATTTTACGAAACTGCTGTGACGAGACCAACCGAACGAGAAACAATACAGAGGGAGCCGAATTGTCTTGGGGTGCACCGATTGGGATGCCGTCCTGCTGCTGGGCAATGTGTCGCGCGCCCTCACAACCACGCCGTAACCGCTGCAGCTGAGAGATCACGACACAGCCTTCCCCCGCCGATTTTCGAGCCGGAAGTCCCACAACTTTCCGCGAAACTTCCTCCGCCCACCCCGGGCATCATACCGAGCCTTTGATCTCGACCCCGCGACATAGCCCTGGTAGGCCAGGTCGCCTTGACGTCAGCCATGCCGAACCCTTCGCCTCCCTCGTCGGGCTCCTCCTCTGTTGAACGGCAGTACCATGTGAACGGCAGGGCAGCCGTGGTGGCATCGCGCGAGAGGGGCCCAGGAACCCCGCGGAAGGAAAGGTCTGGTCCGAAAGAGAGCTCGGCGTTGCAGGACCCAGGATTGAAGGACTATGTGCGTACACCAGCCTGACGAGGCTCCAAGTGGGCTTGGAAGGAGCTTACACCGTGGGGCAATGCGGCTAACGAGAACCGACTGCAGCGTTTGGGAGAGTGTCTTGGAAAGGGAGCTTTCGGGTCCGTCTACAAGGCCTTCAATTGGGGGACGGGCGAGGCCGTCGCGGTCAAGCAGATCAAGCTTGCAGACCTGCCAAAGAGCGAGCTGCGCATGATTGAGGTATGGACAGCCACGGACTCATTGTCTCTACACGGTGCATGGAGACTGACTTTCCCAGTCTGAAATCGATCTTTTGAAGAACTTGCATGTAGGTATTCCTGAGAACTTCGTTGTGGGGTGTATAGGCTGACTTTCGACTCAGCATGACAACATTGTCAAGTACATCGGCTTCGTCAAGTCGGCGGACTGCCTCAACATCATCCTTGAGTGAGTTCGGCCCTCATTTTGCTCCTAACATGGCTGATACAGGATGTAGGTACTGCGAGAACGGCTCTCTCCATTCGATCTGCAAGTCTTACGGCAAATTCCCTGAGAATCTGGTTGGCGTCTACACGACCCAAGTCTTGCAAGGACTACAGTACCTGCACGATCAGGGTGTCATCCATCGCGATATCAAAGGCGCCAACATTCTCACCACCAAGGACGGAAAGGTCAAGCTTGCAGACTTTGGAGTGTCGACTAGCACGCTTGCTGGTGGGCAAGACAAGGAGGCACAAGTCGTGGGAACGCCGTACTGGATGGCGCCTGAAATCATTCAGCTCTCTGGCGCCAGTCCTGCATCTGATATCTGGAGCGTGGGATGCACCGTTATCGAACTGCTGCAAGGAAGACCACCGTATCACAACCTGGCTGCCATGCCCGCACTGTTTGCAATCGTCAACGATGACCACCCGCCATTACCTGAGGGCATCTCTCCGGTTGGTGCCCCCTTTCTGAGCAAAAGGGTTTGCCGTTGTAGCTGACATTTGGCAGGCCTCGCGAGACTTTTTGATGCAATGCTTCCAGAAAGACCCAAACCTCAGAGTGACGGCCAAAAAGCTTCTGCGACACGCATGGATCATCGGGTGTCGAAGGAGCGACGCGCCCGTCTCAAAGGCGCCAGCTAATTTCAGCCAAGCCGTGGAGGAAGTCAAGCAGTGGAACAAGGCTTTGAAGTCGTCCGAGACCTCACTTAGGGCTTCCACCGGTTCCGACAGCGGGGTTCCCGGACTGCAAGGACATCCCGGGTCGAGATACAGCGCCAACGAACCGCTCCGGCCGAACCTGATCACACAACCCAAAGGACCGCTGGCCCTTGCGAAACCGAGACGAACCCCCGAGGCATTCAGGTCTCCTGAGCTTGCAGGTGAGCATCACCGGCTGTTGGGGGCTGCCAATGAGGGGAAGCATGTTGACCTGCGACTAGACGATGACAACTGGGACAACGACTTCGCGACAGCCATCTCGCCGAGCGCGCTACACTTGCCCCACCTGAAGCCGCAGGATAACTTTGGCGGGCTGCTGTCTGCTGATAAGCTCAAGGCATTTGCTTCCATTACGGATTCACGGAACGACTCCGAGAGTTACGATGACGACTTTGAGGGCGAGCTTCTAACCATCAAGGGGCCGAGGTTCAACGACATTGACTACCAGGAGCAGACGATTCGCCCTACGCCCCGCAAAAAGAGCGACAAATATGCAGACCCGATGAAGCTGCAGTCCCCGCCCAAGTCTAGCCCTCGGAAGCATTCAAGAAATTCATCTCGGCCCAAGTCTCCCAGCAAACAGCAGCTCGGCCCCAGCAAGTTTGAGATCCCCGCGCCGCCTGACCTGGCGTATCGGGAGCAAAACGTGGATGACTACTCTGATCTTTTCTTTGACAATGATACGGTTTTCAACGACAACAAGTTGAACCCCTTTGTCAAGAAGGTATGTTGCATTTGGAACTGTTGATGCAAGCCTAGTTA